GATGAAGTCACACTTAGATTTATCGTTTACATGAGTTCACACGAGGCACCCAAATAAAACTATTGCACTGGTCTTAAATATGAAGAAGTGTAAAGTGAGCAGACTGTGTGCAGAGCTGCATTCAGTGCATCAACCTGAATTTTGAAAAAACGTATTTTTCAAAAGTTTACCATAGGCTTTATTTTAATATAATAATACTGTTTAATAATACTGTTTTACAGAGATCCTGTTTTGTCCCGACACTCAAAATGAATAATGTCTGCACATGTGATGAAAATGAGCATGTTTTACAATAACACTTGAAACAACATGTGCTTCTCCTAATATCATAATGTTTGTGCAAAAGAAATACACGTAGAAACTCAGAACTTTCAGAATTTACTTTCTAACATTTTAAATATGGTCTTATGTCCCGACAGTTTTCTCTGTACTTACTCTTATTTGAGTAGTAGTATTGGTTTTCTTTAGTAATTTTTTGGAGCAGTACTTTGTAGTTCTAAGTGAGTTAAATATTATTCTGAAGTAGTGTTACTCTTACATGAGTAAAATGTTTGGCCACTCTTCTAATGTGTGACCAGAGGTGAGATCTATGGAGAGGTGAGCCCTCTCACAGTCATGTTTGTAAAGGTATTTTTGAGAAATAGACTCACCTGTGATGGACTAAATGCAAGACAGACACTGTTAATGCCATATTGTGGCATTTCAAGTTCTACCATCTCCATGGAGATAAGCAGGCGACAGACCCGCCATATGAAATGTCACATACTGTACCTTCAGTGTTATTAATCAGTGTTATCAAGGAATAGACTCAATACTCTATACTGATTCCAATACCAAGATGCAAAGAAACACTCTTTATATAGACCAGGGGTGTCAAACGTACGGCCTGGGGGCCGGATCTGGCCTTCCAAGACCTTTAACCTGGCCCTCGGCTGATTTTCTACTAAAATATTTTAATTATATTTTCTATTAAAATCTTGGTAATTGTCTGTGGTGTTTATCACAGCAGTGTCTCCAGCGCCTCTGTACGTGGCCCCTCCCACCACAGCAGCACAAATGAAGACTTGTCTCTTTCCAAACGCTCTTAAAGGACGATCGTTTTGACTGTTAACCGTGACACCCTCATCAGAAAAATGTCCAACATGAGAAAAGAATGCAGGATTTTCCAAGAAAAATGGACTAAGAAAGAGTTCATCAATTAACAAAAGATTTCTATAATAGATTTGTGTTTCTCTGCACAAATATTTGAACTTATTGTTATTTTTAGGATATATATGCCATGAGTTTTCTAATCTGGCCCCTTTGGGATTAAAGTAGGTTGGATATGGCCCCCGGACCAAAATGAGTTCGACACCCCTGAGTTAGACAGTAGAATGTGATTTTCAGCATTAAATTGTAGTACTCTCTTTTCTATTCCCATGTGTCTTATATGTGTGTAATCCTCCATGGTCCAGTAGGTTCATAGTGTCCATGTGTGTATACTAGTCTATGTGCTCTTCTACTTGTTCTGTTATAGATTTTTTAATAACTTTGACATTCCTATATATAATGCAGTAACAGCCAATTCCAATCTGTTGTTTTGATACAAATTTAATATTTCACAAAATGGAGATGAACAGAGAGACATTCATTCACTAACCTGGACTTGACCTCAAAATAAAGAGATCAGGCAGTGACATGAGTCCTATAAAACCATGAGAGTACACATTTGCTCATCAAATACAGGTTCATTTCACAAACAGAGCATTACAAAGTGGTATTAAAGTAGGACACTTTCAAAAAGGATACTGGAGAGTTATTAGATTGTGTTGAAATCGGCCGGATGCCTCCAGTCGATCTCAAGTTTACAGTGAGGCGTCTCTAGTCAACTTTAAAGACGCTGTTCCTGATTTAACGAACTTTAAAAAAAAAACAACATAAAAAGCACTTTCCACAACTTTCAGAAACAAGAGCGAAGTTTTATCATCACTGTAATACTAACAACAGCCAGCATGCTAACAGTACACTTCCTGATTATCGAACAATAAAACTGTTTAGGATTATACATTTTATCTGTGCTCGGGCAAGACACAATCTGCTCAATTATGTGGGGAAAAAAACACAGGGGGGGGCACAAGGACTTTAAGTTTACAGAGGGCTGAGATAGGCCATATCTCCAGAAAGTTGAGATAGGCTGGTGTCTCCTAGTCGATCACATGTTTTTGCAGAGTTGAGATCGGCTGGTGTCTCTAGATCAGAGGTGCTCACACTTTTTTCATCATGCAAGCTACTTACAAAATGACCAAGTCAAAATGATCTACCTAATACAAAGCCAATCAAACTGCACTGAAACACTCTGTGTCCCTTTTTTGGACCCTCACCCACAGTTTGAGAACCCCTTCTTTCAGAGAACTTCCTCTGGCACTTTACACAAAACTGTGAAAAAAGTGAAGGAAGATTTTTAAACCTGTTTTTTAAAGTTCCAAACTGGAGTTGCATTCTTTTCTCGTTTTGCAGTGATATTTATCAGCCTCTACACATTTAACAAACCAAACGAACATTTTGTTAGACAAACTTCAGCCAAATGTGACAGTAGGTCTGTTCTGTAGATCCGCTCTATGCTGTAGACCTGCTTTGTGCCCAACACTGGAACACAAATTTAGACTGGTTTTTGCTTCACGTTTGGTCTTGCTCTTCTAATCAGCCGCACTGTGGGAGGGGCTTGTGTTCGCTGTACGCAGGAAGGAGCGAGAGCGTGAAAAGGCGAGGGGCGGCGTGCTGACGTGAGGCAGGTGGACAGGTAGGATGTTTAGGAAGTTGAACCTGCCCTGTGATGCACGCTGGTACACGAGGGCACACGCTGTTGCAGACGAGCCGTGCGTAGGGAGCGTGTGTGTTTGTGATGTGACGTAGAGTCTCCGCGGGTTTCAAATGAGCGCACAGGCTGCACTGAGACGACCCACACGCTCCTGCACCCGCTACAAGTTTATTACCAACAGCAGCGGCCGGAATGAAATATGATCACACTTGTTGAGTGTCAGACCTTGAGTGAGAGACAAGACCGAGTCCAAACAAGATCGAGTCTGAGACGAGACACAGAGATCTACCCACACGACCTTGACGATCGACTAGCAGATCGTGATCGACTGGTAGATCGCGACCGATGTATTGAGCACCCCTGATCTAGAGAGTAGAGATAGGCTGGTGTCTGTAGAGAGTAGGGATAGGCTGGTGTCTGTAGAGAGTAGGATAGATAGGTGGTGGTGTCTGTAGAGAGTAGAGATAGGCTGGTGTCTGTAGAGAGTAGAGATAGGCTGGTGTCTGTAGAGAGTAGAGATAGGCTGGTGTCTGTAGAGGCTGGTGTCTGTAGAGAGTAGAGATAGGCTGGTGTCTGTAGAGAGTAGGCTGGTGTGTAGAGAGTAGGCTGGTGTCTGTAGAGAGTAGAGATAGGCTGGTGTCTGTAGAGAGTAGAGATAGGCTGGTGTCTGTAGAGAGTAGAGATAGGCTGGTGTCTGTAGAGAGTAGAGATAGGCTGGTGTCTGTAGAGAGTAGAGATAGGCTGGTGTCTGTAGAGAGTTGGGATAGGCTGGTGTCTGTAGAGAGTAGAGATAGGCTGGTGTCTGTAGAGAGTAGAGATAGGCTGGTGTCTGTAGAGAGTAGAGATAGGCTGGTGTCTGTAGAGAGTAGAGATAGGCTGGTGTCTGTAGAGAGTTGGGATAGGCTGGTGTCTGTAGAGAGTATAGGCTGGTGTCTGTAGAGAGTAGGGATAGGCTGGTGTCTGTAGAGAGTTGGGACAGGCTGGTGTCTGTAGAGAGTAGAGATAGGCTGGTGTCTGTAGAGAGTAGAGCTGGTGTCTGTAGAGAGTAGAGATAGGCTGGTGTCTGTAGAGAGTAGAGATAGGCTGGTGTCTGTAGAGAGTAGAGATAGGCTGGTGTCTGTAGAGAGTAGAGATAGGCTGGTGTCTGTAGAGAGTAGGGATAGGCTGGTGTCTGTAGAGAGTAGAGATAGGCTGGTGTCTGTAGAGAGTAGAGATAGGCTGGTGTCTGTAGAGAGTAGGGATAGGCTGGTGTCTGTAGAGAGTAGGCTGGTGTCTGTAGAGAGTGGCTGTGTCTGTAGAGAGTAGAGATAGGCTGGTGTCTGTAGAGAGTAGAGATAGGCTGGTGTCTGTAGAGAGTAGGATAGGCTGGTGTCTGTAGAGAGTAGAGATAGGCTGGTGTCTGTAGAGAGTAGAGATAGGCTGGTGTCTGTAGAGAGTAGAGATAGGCTGGTGTCTGTAGAGAGTAGGGATAGGCTGGTGTCTGTAGAGAGTAGGGATAGGCTGGTGTCTGTAGAGAGTAGAGATAGGCTGGTGTCTGTAGAGAGTAGGGATAGGCTGGTGTCTGTAGAGAGTAGGGATAGGCTGGTGTCTGTAGAGAGTTGGGACAGGCTGGTGTCTGTAGAGAGTAGGATAGGCTGGTGTCTGTAGAGAGTAGGGATAGGCTGGTGTCTGTAGAGAGTAGGGATAGGCTGGTGTCTGTAGAGAGTAGAGATAGGCTGGTGTCTGTAGAGAGAGTAGAGATAGGCTGGTGTCTGTAGAGAGTAGGGATAGGCTGGTGTCTGTAGAGAGTAGGGATAGGCTGGTGTCTGTAGAGAGTAGAGATAGGCTGGTGTCTGTAGAGAGTAGGGATAGGCTGGTGTCTGTAGAGAGTAGGGATAGGCTGGTGTCTGTAGAGAGTTGGGACAGGCTGGTGTCTGTAGAGAGTAGAGATAGGCTGTGTCTGTAGAGAGTAGGATAGGCTGTGTCTGTAGAGAGTAGGGATAGGCTGGTGTCTGTAGAGAGTAGGGATAGGCTGGTGTCTGTAGAGAGTAGAGATAGGCTGGTGTCTGTAGAGAGTAGGGATAGGCTGGTGTCTGTAGAGAGTAGGGATAGGCTGGTGTCTGTAGAGAGTAGGAGATAGGCTGTGTCTGTAGAGAGTAGGGATAGGCTGGTGTCTGTAGAGAGTTGGGATAGGCTGGTGTCTGTAGAGAGTAGGATAGGCTGGTGTCTGTAGAGAGTAGGGATAGGCCGGTGTCTCTAGTCGATCATGAGTTTCTGCAGAGAGTTGAGATAGGCCGGGATGAGGGAGCTGACGGACTCGTTGTCGTCGTTGAGGATCTTGTCTCCGTGTCCGTCAGAGCAGACGGAGCTGTTGGAGCGAACCATCCCAGGGTACGGCGTGCTGTAGCCCTGCGCACACAAACACAATTACACATTACATACCTGTGCACTTACTTCATTCATTCATTCATTTATTTATTTATTTTATTTTACAAATACATGTGTTATGCTTTGTAATCCTAAAAAAGTGAACTAACGGACATTTATGTGGATGTAACAACTACTCTTGCAGTAGTTTACAGAGGTGAGGAGTACAAAATCATTTGTAAGAAAATTCTACTCTACACACAACTTCACATCATTTGACTTGACTTAGTAATATACTGCACAGTGTAACAGTATTCTTACTTGAGTAATATATTCTACAGTGTGACAGAACTTTCACTTTAGTAATATGTTGTACTGTGTAACAGTACTTTTACTTGAGTAATCTACTGTACAGTATAACAGTACTTTTACTTGAGTAATCTACTGTACAGTGTAACAGTACTTTTACTTGAGTAATATACTGTACCCTGTAACAATATTCTTACTTGAGTAATATACTGTACAGTGTAACAGTACTTTTACTTGAGTAATCTACTGTACAGTGTAACAGTACTTTTACTTGAGTAATATACTGTACCCTGTAACAATACTCTTACTTGAGTAATCTACTGTACAGTGTAACAGTACTTTTACTTGAGTAATATACTGTACCCTGTAACAATATTCTTACTTGAGTAATATACTGTACAGTGTAACAGTACTTTTACTTGAGTAATATACTGTACCCTGTAACAATATTCTTACTTGAGTAATATACTGTACAGTGTAACAGTACTTTTACTTGAGTAATATACTGTACCCTGTAACAATATTCTTTCTTGAGTAATATACTGTACAGTGTAACAGTACTTTTACTTGAGTAATCTACTGTACAGTGTAACAGTACTTTTACTTGAGTAATATACTGTACCCTGTAACAATACTCTTACTTGAGTAATCTACTGTACAGTGTAACAGTACTTTTACTTGAGTAATCTACTGTGCAGTGTAACAGTACTTTTACTTGAGTAATATACTCAGTACTCTTAGTTGAGTAAAAGTAAGTGTAAAAGTGACAAACGTTTTATGTTGACAGTATAAAATGATTTTCACGGTTCCTGCAAATATGACTTCACATTCATGTTTGGATTCATTAATATTATAAATTATTAATTTATTAATAGTTTCTTCTACCAGATTTGATGCATGATTTCATCTTCTGTCCATTTGTCCATCATGTCCAGTTATAATAACTTAACTCATGAGTAGCTTCCCCCGATCCAAGACATTTGTTGGACTACTTCTTTGTACTATAACTATAGTATTAGTATATTATTTTGAAGTAACTGCGCATTTTTGGCTTCCTTTACTCAACTCTACTCTAAATATGTAGGATTAGGGCTAAGCAAAAATATTAAAATATTTATATATCGTATCCTTTAATGTGATCATACACTATCTATATTGTGGGCTGCTGTATCGATATATATCGCCAAGAATATTTTTTGGTTTATTTTACTGAATTATTTTGTCACAGCACTACAGTTTTGAAGCTTGTTCAGAGGAAGGAAACTCGTTTCTACGCATTTGACATTTTCACTGTTTTGATGATTAAAATGTTTCATATGAACTTTGCACAGGAAGTGGTTTAACAAAGACTTTTAGTGTCACAACCACAATGTAGCCATTATTTTTTTTATTGAACTGCAACAAATCAATTTGAAATATACTGAATGGAAAGTGCACGGTATCGAAATATGTATCATATTGTGGTCTGTTTATTGAAGTATGTATCATATTGGCAATTTTTTAATACCCAGCCCTATGTAGGATTACTCCAAAATGTGAACAGATTTTATGTTTAATGAGGAAACTACTTTAGAATTAAAAACAGGCATTCTGACTGTGAGCGGGGTTACCTGTCCATAGATCTGACTAGTAACTTGGTCTGGTTTGGCCTTCATGAAGATAGAAAGGTTTAAAGCCAGACTGTGAAACATCCAGGACAAACCAACAACATCACCACCAGAAAAGTTACACAATGCAATTTAAATCAGAACAATCGTTTCACTGTCATCGTACAGTGAATGGAGACCTCAGGTGGACATTGGCGGTACTACATGTCTGAGATCTTTTGTACGCCTTAGGACTTACTGAGGAGTATCCTTTGCTGAAGCTGCCTCGGCGCTTGGTTCTGATCTTGGTGAGGGTGGACTCTGCGATGTCGGCGCGCTCCTCTGCGTTGTCCAGCTCGTGCACCATCTTCCTGTACTTGGTCAGGTTCATGTTGGCCTGCTCCTCCTGCACACGAGCAAAAACGAAAGCACACATACTGAGTCCTGCTCGGGTCTGCTCTTCTGAAAGCATCATAGTTGTTCAGAATGTATTTGGTTACATTATTTACTGTATACTCCCAGAGGTGGATAATACTCAGTTACACTTAACTTAGTAACCTTTAAAATAAATTGTACTTTTCAGAGTACATTTTAAGCAGCATATTTTTTACTCCTGCTTGAGTCATATTTTTGATGAAGTAACAGTAATCTTACAGTCTTACTTGAGTAAAGGTTGTACTTCCCAACATGAGTAAGTCTAAAGTGACAAAAGCTTTAAGTGACAATATGAAATTATATGAACATTTGCCAAACTTTGGGGGCAGGAGTGCTACTTGGATGAACAAAAACTGAAGACTTGTGCTTTTGGTGTTCTTCAGTGTAGGGAACGGTCTCAAATACAAAGTAGAAAAAAACTGAGGCACTCAAAAAGTACAAAATAAAAAGCCATCAGGGCAACACTGTTTGCCCTGCGCAGCCCTACATATGACTGTGTGACCCAATAACATGTATGAGGAGTTTTCTAGAGTCTGTGTCTGTTGGGTCTAACTTTCTTCAGGCTGCAGTGAGCCTCAGTCTGTCCCAGCCCCAATGCCTCCACATGGGCCTCTGTCACAGCCCTGCACCTGGTCACCGCACTGGACTCAACACCAACATCACCTCCCTCACCCCCCATGACCAGAGTGCACTCTTATGCACCCCCACCCCTGCCCCCCTCCCTGGCTATTTACCGCAGGTCTGTGATCACAGAAAGTGCAATAAATACAACAAAACCTTATTTGACCCCCTTATTTTCTGTCTAAGTTTCTGCTTAAGTTTCTGTCTTAAATCTTTCCTCTGTGAGTTTGTTTATGTGACTTTGGACATTTGAAATTACCACTAAAATTGTAAAACAGCTGTAGACGCTCCACCTGACTTCCTCAGTCACTCTTTCCTTCACACTTTCATGCCTCATAATACCAAACCCATATTGGCCACATTTTGAAGTTCAGAGAGCGTTTCTACCCAAATACATATACATTTTCTATGTAAATTAATTGTAAATTAGTGTGGACTTGTTCGTAGCTGGTGGTTGGTGAATTTAGGACAACTGTCACTTAAGAAGGAATGCTTAAAAATGTTTTGTGAATCTGGCACAGAGTCTCTCAGCATCTTCTGAAAGTGGGAGATATGAACAGTGTTTAAGAAAAGATTCATGAATGAGGCCCAATAACGTCTTGAATACACAAGAATAAATATGGCTCAAACAGGCACGAATCACTCTAGGCACAACTTCAGAGGGTCAATGAAAATCTCGTGGACATGGTGTCTGGTCTCATGGTGAGTACGTACGGCCTCCTCCACTTGTCTCTTGTAGGCCTTCATCTTGCTCTGCAGCCTCTCCACCAGCTCCTGCAGTCGGGCCTGGTTCTTGTGGTCCTCCTCGCTCTGGAACAGCAGCTCTTTGAGGCGCCTCTCGTTCTTTCTCAGACTCTTCACCGTGTCAGAGTGACGGGCTTGCTCCGCCTCCAGCTCCGCCTCCAGCTCCTTTATCTGCACGGGATCATAAGAGCAGTACCACAAGGATTTATAAAAGTATTTCTGAACTACAATGTTTCACTTGTACTTGCATAAGTCTCTCCTGGGTGCTTGTGGGTGCTACCTTGGCCACTAGTTTGTGGGTGCTTGTAGGTGCTACCTTGCCTCTAGTCTATGGGTGCTTGTTGTTGCTTGTGGGTGCTACTTTGACCTCTAGTCTGTGGCTGATTGTGGGAGCTACCTTGGTGTATAGTGTGTGGGTTCCTGTGGGTGCTACTTTGGTCTCTAGTTTCTGGGTGCTTCTGGGTTCCTGTGGGTGCTACTTTGGTCTCTAGTTTCTGGGTGCTTCTGGGTTCCTGTGGGTGCTACTTTGGTCTCTAGTCTGTGGGTGCTTGTGGCTGCGTGTGGGTGCTACCTTGGCACCTAATCTGTGGGTACTTGTGGCTGCGTGTGGGTGCTACCTTGGCATCTAGTTTGTGAGTGTTTGTGGGTGCTTGCAGGTGCTACCTTGGCCTCCAGTTTATGGGTGAGCTTCTTGCCCCCCTTGAAAGCGCTCTGCTCAGCTTCGTCCAGCCGTGTGGTCAGGTCTTTGATCTGGGCCTCCAGACTCTTCTTCACCCTCTCCAGATGCAGAGAGTGCTCCTGCTCCACACGCAGCTCCTCACTCACTCTGGACAGCTGACGACAACAACAGAGACAAATCCTTTATTTTATACATTAAACAAACACAAATTTGACTTTTCATATTTGCAATTGCACAGTTGTACAGTTTTACAGGTACCACAATCACACCTGAACCTGAGTTACCAGTGCCTTAACTTTTTGTCTCATTCTCAGCTTATGGACAGAACAGGCCTCACGTGAAAGCTCACAACCTCCAGAATTCCCTCCCTGAGCTGCAAAGGCTGCACTAGCACTGACCCATGATGCTGCAGGAGCTGGAGTTTACGTAGTGACCATTCAGATCAGAGAGAGACATTTTAGGTTTAAACACACTGAATTTCAGAACTGAAACTGGAAACACAAATGTGAGGCTCATTGTGCTTTCTGATAGGAAAGTTGAATCATGTTGAGAATGAAAACAACAAAATAGAACATAAACAATTTGTCTGCCCAGTGTTTTTGTATAGAAGAGTACATTAGCATTACAATTGTTATCAGTAAAAGCTTTATTTCCATCTGCACAGAAAAAAAATTACTTTTTAATTAAACTCTACTGCTGGATTATCAGGGAGAATGTCAGTTTTAAGTAAAATGTACTTACATCCATGATTAACAGTCATGAAATTACTGAGTAACTGTTACTCAATTTTTGAAAAGTTAGAAGTCATATTTGTGTAAATAAATTAAATAAAATATATATTACTTGCATTGTCGTTATTAATTGCATTGCTGTTATTTTTTAAGTATTTCTGAACTACAATGTTTCACTTATACTTGCATCAACAGACACAGTACTTGGAGTCTCCCCTGGGTGCCTGCGGGTGTTACCTTTACCTCTGTTATGTGGGTTCTTGTGGTTGCATGTGGGTGCTACTTTGGCGTCTATTTTGTGGATACTTGTGGATTCTTATGGGTGCTACTCTCTAGTCAGACTGGTCTCTAGTCTGTGGGTGCCTGTGGGTGCTATCTTGGCCTCTAGTTTGTGGGTTCTTGTGGGTGCTACTTTGGTCTCTATAGTCTGTGGGTGCTTGTGGTTGTTTGTGGGTGCTACTCAGGTATCAAACAAAAAATGAACAAATAAAAGCTACTCATTTGAGGCTGGGGTGATGATGTAAAGCACTTTGAGCCTCAAAGGTGGAAAAGCCCTGTATGAAAATGTGACTATTTATAATATAAATATTAGACATATATTTGCTTCATTATTTCATCACAGCAATGCAATTAATTATGACCATATATTATTATTATTATTATTATTATTATTACTTTATTTTTATTGTATTTTTTTCAGTGTGGTTACATAAATAGGTTATGTTTATGGAATAAAAAATCTAAATCTTATGGTTCTTACTGTTCCTTCCGTATGTTTCCTTTTAAAGTGTTAGGTGTTAGTAGTAAGTGTGTACGATGTTAAACTGTGGTCGTGTCGTGTTGTGTTGTGTCGTGTCTGTACCTCAGCGTGAGCTTTCTTGGTCTTCTCCGTTGACCCCCGCAGCTCAGCCTGGACCTCCTCGTGCTCCTGCTGCAAAGTCTGGACGTCCACCTCCAGCTTCCTCCGCACGCTCAGGGCATTCTGGAGCTGCACCGGTGACAAACAGAACGCACTTCAGTGTCTATGAGAATACACTTGACTACTGTGATTTCACATGAGCAGTATAACGGCAAAGTCACAGTAAACCAGAGGTGCCCAAAGTATATAAACTATGTATCAGTACCTGAGTAGAAGTATAAATACACCTGCTCAAATATTACTCCTATGCAAGCAAAAGTAGCCCTGTATTCAAAGTACTTTTGACTTTGACACCCGCCAGTCTGTCCTTCTTTGCTGCTCCTGGCGTCCTGCACCTGCCAGTCTGTCCTCAATTGCTGATCCTGGCGTCCTGCACCTGCCGGTTTGTCCTCCTGTCCTGCTCCTGGCGTCCTGCACCTGCCAGTCTGTCCTCAATTTCTGCTCCTGGCATCCTGCACCTGCCAGTCCACCCTCCCACACTGCTCCTGCCCTCCTGTCGCTCCTGTCATCTCTCAGTCTGCGCTGCGTTGTTGTGTTGAAGTCCCTCGGGTGTCCACTAGGGGGCTGACCTGGGTGCTGAGGTGGCTGCATTTGTCGTTGGCCTCTTGGACCTGGTTCTCCAGAGTCTTGCGGTTTCTCTCAGAACTGTCCAAGGCGGCGCGCGTCTCCTCCGCCTCGCCCAGCAGCACTGTGACCCGTCTCTCCAGCGCTGCCTGCTCCTCCTGCTGCTGCTCGTGGGCCCGCACCTCCTCCTCCAGCTGGGCCTGTAGGTCCTGTGAACGTACACCTACTGTTAGTATCTGTTTAAAAGGTTTTGTGTGTAGGTTTTGCTCCTGTGGTTAAAAGTGTAACTACAAACACGGCTGAGATCATCACAGCAATAACACAACTGAGACACACACACAAACACAGAGCGTAATCACTTTGGACTTAAGACCAAAACAAACAACGTACAGGGTGTCCCAAAAATTTTGACATCATTCCGCAGGCCAATAATTTTAGCAGTTCTTGTTGAAATAACCTTAATTTCAGAAACAGATGAAGATTTTATATTTATTAATGTTTAATTTTGGTTTTGTTTTCAGGTTGAGCCGTTCACTCCCAAAGTGAAATCATTTTGTGTCTTGGAATCTGCTGCACACACTCAACCAAGACTGTACAACCTTTAATGCAACATTTGGAAAAACTTCACCAACTTGCTGTTATTTTTAAAGTACCGTATTTTCCGGGCTATTAGGCGCTCTGCATTATAAGGCGCAATGTCATTACATGGTCTATTTTCAAACTTTTTCCACAAATAAACTGCACTGGACTTTAAAGGAAACCCAACAGTGTGATGGGTGAGTGGTTTTGTTTGTTTGTTTGTTGTGTGACTCTGGGCTTTGTTCAGTTGTGGCGTGTAGGGAGGGTGTGTCTGGGACCAACGGATTGTCGGCGTGTTTACAGTGACTCAGTTGTTCAGTCGTGTCTAGAAGCGGCACATTGCACTCGCTTTTTCGGTTCGTTCCTCCGTTCTGTTCCTCGTCAGTGTGGAGTGATGAGTGTGTCTGTGGGTGTGTTTCACTGTGTGGTCGCTGTCTGCTCCGTGTGTGTTTGTGTGTTCTGCGGGTGGTGCGGCTTTGTAGTTTACTGAAGTCGTGGGTCATGGGTCTGGGACACCAGAGTGGATTCGTGTATAGGGCGCTCTGGATTGTGGGGCGTCGTTTTTTGATGCGGTTAGAGGCTTAAGAGCGTGTTTAATATCCCAGAAAATACAGTATTTCTGAACTACAAAGGTTCGCTTGTACTTGCATAATAGACACAGTACCATATTTTCCGGGCTATTAGGCACACGCAAACACACACGGAGCAGACAGCGACCGCACAGCCAAAAACACCCACAGACACACTATCACTCCACGCCGACGAGGAGGAACGGAACGGAGGAACGAACCAAAAAAGTGAGTGCCAAGTGCCACTTCTAGACACGACTGAACAACTGAGTCACTGTGAACACGGCGACAATCCGTTGGTCCCAGACAGCACCCTCCCTACACGCCACAACTGAACAAAGCCCAGAGTCACCGTGAACGACCAAACAAACAAAACCACTCACCCATCACACTGTTGTGTTTCCTTTAAAGTCCTGTGAGGTTTATTTGTGAAAAAAGTTTGAAAATAGACCATTTAATGACAGTGCGTCTTATAATCCAGAGCATCTAATAGCCCGGAAAATACGCTACATGGACTCTCCCCAGGGTGCTTGCTGGTGTTACCTTGAACTACCTCGTTATGTGGGTGCTTGTGTTTGCTTGTGGGGGCTACCTCGGCATCTAGTTTGTGGGTCATAATTAACTGCATTGCTGTGTTTACATAATTAAGTAAATATTATATGTATTAAATGGTCACAGTTTTATACAGTGCTTTTCCACCTTCAAGACTCAAAGCACTTTACATCACAGAACCACTTATTTAACTAGAGCAAATCAGTACATTTGGAAAAACTTCACCAACTGGTAAACACATTTGGACTTGGTACCAAAAATTTAAAGAGGAAGGCTAAAGGATGTGGTACCAACATCAACGTCAGAAGAGAAGGTCGAGCAAGTTTGTGAAAAACTCTTGGGAAGCCCCAAGAAGTCCGTAAAGAAGTTTGGAAAGCCAGATCCTTTAAGCCCTACATAAACAGCCTTCAACTTTACATTTTTGGCACCAAGTCCAAAGCACACTGCACAGTGTTGGGTGAGTGTGTGCAGCAGATTCCAAGACACAAAATGACTTCTCTTTGGGAGTGAACGACTCAACCTGAAAACAGAACAAAAATAAAACATCAAATACAAAATGTCGATATGTTTCTTTACATTCTGTGAAAATTTGAGGTTATTTCAACAAGAACTGCCAAAATTACTGGCCTGTGAAATGATGTCATATTTCCTGGGACACCCTGTACTTTTATAGGAAGGGTTTGTAAACATGACTTAACTGTGTCTCCACATATGAGGGAAACATGTTCAAATCAAACATAGCTTTTACTGGTAACAAATGTAACTTTTATTCATTTTTTCTTAATTACAAAATATTGTACACAATAGTCTAGTTTATCCTATGACTAAAATCACTTTCTCAATCTCAGTGGTCACTCTCTAAACCCCAGCTCCTGCAGCAGTCATGAGTCAGTGCTAGTGCAGCCTCTGCAGCTCAGAGAGGGAATTCTGGAGGTTCTGAGCTTCACATGAGGCCTGTCCATAAACTGAGAATGAGAAAAATGTGTATGTGTCTTTACTCTGCAGGTTTTTCATATTATTTTCAAATATCATGAATAAATCAACATTGCAACTATGACTAGTAAAAATCCAGATGGTTGCAACATGTTTCCTTCACACGTGAGACTCAGACAGATGACACATGGAGAGCAGGGACGTCCAGGGAGAGTGCTCACTGTCATCATGGATTATGAAAACATCACAAATCAGTTTCATAGCACATAGTTTGGCATTGAGTGGCCCCAAACACGCTCCAGAGGGCCCTGGGTGTATGGAGGCTCACCGCAGGGAGCTCCGGGGGGCCCTGGGTGTATGGAGGCTCACCGCAGGGAGCTCCGCGGGGCCCTGGGTGTATGGAGGCTCATCACACAGAGCTCAGGGGCCCTAGGAGTATGGAGGCTCACCTTGATCTGCTGCTGGCCTTTCTTGCTGCTCTTGCTGAGCTCGGCGTTGGTTGTGGTGAGGAGTTGGTTCTGTAGCTCCAGCTCGGACAGATCAGAGTCCAGCTTCTTTTTCAGCCTCTGTCCCTCCACACGACCTTTCACCTCTGCATCCAGACTGGCCTGCAGGGACTCCAGCGCCCTCTGCTGGCTCTTTCTGTTACATCAGTAGGGGGTTATTAGATGTAAGGACAGAAACAGTTTGCAGTAATAATGTAATTATTGTCAGCATTACAGAAGTGTGTACTCAGTTACATTTACAAGTAACTTTTTAATACAAGTGTTCTTCTCTGAGAGGTTTTCTATACTTTTACTCCTTCTCAAGTAATACATAGTGTACCAATACTCTTACTAAGTTACTCTTCAACCTGTAAATAAGTGACAAAAGCTTTATGTTGACAATAAGAAGTGATGTGAACATATGTGTGTTTCTTGAACTCAGATATGATTTAGTTTGTCTCATTTGTGTGATATGAATTTATCTGTCATATGGTAATATAGAAAGTCCTCCACTGTGTTTTTAAACTCCATAGAATCATTTGGATAATTTCAGCCCTGGAATTATCAGTCTCTACTAAACAAAATGTAAACAGTAGCTGTTAACTTGAAAACTACCGCTTCATGACATCACAAGGTGGAACAGAGCATTTTGAGCTTTGGAGATGTAGACAGACACATTTTAAAGGAGCACTCCAAAGCCCATGCTCTTGTACCTGGCTGCCTCCATCTCCTCGTCTTTCTCCTGGAGCCTCCTCTCCAGATCTGCTTTGGTCTGAGAAAGCTCCAGCTGTAGCCGCAGCACTTTGCTCTCCTCTGCCTGCACACACACGACCACACACTCTACATCACATACTTTTATCTGCAATAATATAAAAGACTGCACTAGAATATATTCAGAAGGAGTCGGTACAGCAGACTTGGCTAAAACAAGAGCATGTTTCTGAGGGCCTTGGTAGAAGAATTCCAGGCATATGGAGAGCTACTTTGAGTCTGTTATAAACATATTATATTTAAATCAATATGGTACCTTTTATTATTTTGAAAATGCTACATTTACTCTAAACAACATATTAACATGTCTTTAATGAAATTATTGTGTTATTTTATATCCTGCTGTTACTCCTAAAAACACTCTTTTTCACTGACAAAATTTAAAAACATTTCCATGACTTTTTCATCAGCTAAAGTGAATTTTCCATGACTTTACGGCACCTACATGTGTAGAAGTGATTAGACGTTTAGAGTTACATATGAAATGTTAACTCTTTCCACTCACCTTATGGTTTGGGATTATAGTTTTGAACATTCAAAATCCTGTCAGTGCATTTATTGTCGTCTCTTTTAAACAAAAGGTGCAGACGTTCAGAAATAATCAGAATAGTCTCATGAGAACTTAACAGAACGCTGTAGTTACGTGAAAGAGATAATAAAATTCCATGACATGGAAAAGGTCAGTTTCAATTTTCATGACTTTTCCATGATTTCCATTACCGTGAGAACCCTGTAAAACTCACTTTTCCTCATTGGCTTTTAACTCAGTTTGAGGGTTGACTATTTACCTGTCACTGTATTTGTCACTGTTTGTTATGTGTTTTGTGTGCAGCACTTTGGTCGATTGTGTTGTTTTTAAAGTGCTCTAGAAATAAAGTTGAGTTGAGTTGTGAGTAGAAAGCTCCAAAAAGTGGACTTTCCATAATACACATTCTTTAACACTGGTCCAGAGATTTCAGATGAAAGACCAACACACTGAATATCCACATCTCCTGTCAGACAAAGTGAAATTCTTCCTCGTTCGGTGTAGTACCTCGAGGGCAGCCTCAGACTCCTCCAGAGAGGCCTGCAGCTCCTCCTTCTCCATCTCCATCTTCTTCTTGGCCTTCTGCAGCTCGTGGACGCTCTTCCCTCCATCTGAGAGCTGGTCTGTCAGCTCAGTTATCTCCTCTGGCACAGAAACACACATGTTAAACAAAGCCCTGCCATTTTACTAACATGTTAATATTGCATTCACTGAAAAGCTCAGAGCTGAGTGACAGTGTGCTGTGGTATCCTGGTAAACAGTTCTTTCTTACACTGCAGCTGCTCAGACTCTCATATCTTCAGGGAGCATGTATGTGACAGTGCAGTAGTACCCTGATAGGCCTTGTTCTCCTTCCTGAGCGCCTCCATCTGCTCCAGGCTCTCCTCGTAGCTGCTCTTGAGTTTGAAGAGCTCGGTGGCGTGCTGGCGGCTCTCCTTCTGACAGTTCTCCACCTCACACAGCAGCTCCTCGCACTTGTGCCTGTAGTCGCCCAGCTGCTTCTCCAGGAGGCGCTGTTTCTTATCCAGAGCCTGCCCACAGCCGTTGGCCTGAAACACAAGAGATCACAAGTTGGAACTGAACATTCTGAGCTTTGAAGATGTAGACCGAAACAACATTCTGTCATGGCTAAAAGCTCAAATGAGTCAATTTCACGTGGCCCACTTGGAGGATGGGTCAAATGCAGCGGATATGTCCCTGTACCTTGTCGAGCTCCTCACACAGTTCCTCCAGCTCCCCCTGCAGTCTCTGCTTGGTCTTCTCCAGAGAGGAGCATTTGGCCTGGGTCGCCTCCACCGCCTCCTCGGCCTCCTGCAGACGCAGCGCCAGCTTCTTCCTGAACCACACACAACAGCAGAGGACTGACAAGACCATTTGGATTTACTGCCTAAAAATATATATATATATATGTAGAAAAAGATGTTTTGGTTTTTGAACATTTGTGTAATTTGTGTAATGAATATATTCTAAACCAGGAAATTATTTTTTCCATGGGGCCACATGAAAAAACAGAAAATATTGTGGAGGCCAACATGCTGAACTCAATTTTGCACAATATGACTTGTATTTCTTTATATATATATATATATATATATATATATATATATATATATATATATATATATATATATATATATATATATATAAATAGTAGTAAAGTATCATGTTCTGACAAGCTGCTTAGACTGGTAAGAGTTTATGTTATGATTAAACAATGAAAAAAAAAAACACCTCTAAAATAAAAGCAATGCAGCTTTAGTCCATGCATGAGGTCAAATTATAAAATATGTTTATTTTGTAATTCCAAATTATCTTAAACGGGCAAGTCAGAGTCAACCAAAGGGTACAGTATGTGGCCTGGGAGCTGGATAATGCCCAGGTCTGTTAACTATATGGTCTCAATTATATGGTTTAATGGTCTCAACTGAAATTGTGGATAGACATTTTAAAGCCACTGTATGTAACTTTTTAATCAAACACTGTTTTACTGTTAGTAGGCTAGCAAATCCACAAACCTGACTCCACCTGCTTGTTTCCATGGAAATGTTTCTTTGGCTATCATATTCCATTTCAGGCAGATGAGCCTCCATTCCTGCACCACCAGACTCACTAAGAGCTTCGTCCACCAGGCTGTTAGGATGCTGAACTCTCTCCCCTCAATAACTACCAGGTGACCAGGAACCAGGAATCTGTGTCTCCTCAAAGAACTCTGGACTTTTCCTTTTATTTTATTATTATTTAATTGATTCAGAGTGAGAACATGATTTAAACATTTCATATGTTCATTTGGAAATTTGACAATATACTTTTTGAATTGAATTGAATTTGAATTGAAGTATAAGAGCACATAGACTAGTATAAGCCCATGGACACTATGAACCTGCTGGACCATTTAGGATTACACACATATAAGACACATGAGAATAGAAAAGAAAGTACTACCATTTAATGCTAAAAATCACATTCTGTGATCATGGTACTGGAATCTGTACTGAGTGTCAAATCTATTCCTTAGTATTGAAAATTACACTAGTGGGAAGAAAACCAATTAAACCTTTGTAAATGTATTGTAACAAAGTATAAAGCAGTAATGCTGTGTATAGTATAAAAAGTTCTTTTAGATGTTTTCTGCGTTTAAACATTCCATCTAGCTGTCTCATTTGGATAGACATGTCCAGAGAGGTACCTGGTTTCCTGTATCTCGTCGGCGTGCTGCAGGGCATCTGACTCTTGCCTGCTCCTCCACAGTGTGACCTCTGTGTTGAGTTTGGACACGAGCCTCTGCAGCTCCTGTCTGCTCTCCTGCTCCTCCTCCAGCTGCTCCCTCAGCCCCACGCTCTGCTGCCGAGCCTGGGCCAGAGCACTGCTCAGAGCGCCCTTGTTCTGGACACAAACACCACACAGTCACAGTCACACCTCGCACAACGCAAACCAGGTTTTTCAATATTAAAGGTCATATATGTGAGCAAAGTGTGTCTTGCTCCAGTAAAGAAATCATGGTCATCATCATCATGGTGAATAATTAGGATGCTCTGAATGCATAAAGTTAACGTTGAGAGGAGCAGTTGAGGTGGCTCAAGCATCTGTTCCAGGTGCCTCCTGGACGCCTTCCTCAGGAGGTGTTCTGGGCATGTCCCACTGGGAGGAGGCCCCAGGGAAAGACCAGCACACGCTGGAGGGACTGTGTCTCTGTGCTGGCCTGGAAACACCCCGGAGGAGCTGGAGGACCACGGATAAAGCGGAAGAAAATGGATGGGCATTTGAATTCCACCTAAACCTTTGTATGATCATTAAAGCTACATTAAGTAACTTCTTTGATGCAGGGTCCACCACCCGATTGTCTCCTTGGACATATTACTGCTTCTCCTGGAACTTAACTTAACTCTTAATCTTATCTATGACCATGGAGACAAACAGGTGACATTATCAGGCCCGGTTATTGATTGATTTTTATTTTGAGTTTGTGCCAGGAGAGAAACAATAATCATACACTATACATTATAAACAACAGAAAAGCACATTTCTCAAAAAGGAGTGAAGGAGTGGGAAGAAGGAAAAACATATATTAACCCACCACTTTTCATTACATAGTTTCAAAAATAATGTGGTTATGCTTAACGCTTTGGTTAGTCCAGTTTTGACATAACGAGCCACAAATGCCTCTGCATTAGTCATTTGTTCATACGATTACACAAAATATGTATGTCCCTAAATTAGTGCCATTATCACCATGAGTATTATTTGTTTACATCATTTTTCAGAGTTAGGTCACTACTTCCAAACAGCAGCAACAGATGTAAGACATAACATAAATAATAAAAATGGCTGAATGTGTTACTTTTTGCTTCTGTAGTGGTTTACCTTGACTTCCTCGTCCAGCTGCTTCCTGAGCTCCTCCAGCTGTGATTGGAGCAGAGCTTTGTTTCGGCTCATCTGATTGGCTCGGCCCTCCGCCTCCTCCATTCTGCGGCTCATGTCTGTGTTATCAGCTGCAGGCGCAAAAGGGAGTGTCAGATGCCTTCCCATCCTCCTGTAGCCCTGTGTGTCAGATGCCCTCCCATTCCTCCTCTATCCCCGTCTGTCAGATGCCCTTGAGTCCTCCTATATTGCATCCACCAATCAATTATTTGTAAAATATTTATTCAGTTATCCACTAAACATTAGACGTCTTATGGACATGTAGATCATCTCTATATTGTGTCTGTCGGTCCAAGACCAATTCTAGACAAAATGATGTGCAAATTCTGTCCACTATTTGGACATATAACTCTGACCCGCTTGGATGTCAATCTGCAGTTAAACATTTGAACCATGGACTAGAAGACTTTTTTAGACGTTATGCACAGGAACAGGGAGATGACATAATTTCTATAATATAATTCTTTTTTTTTTTCATTGTTAACCCTCTCCAGGCAGGCGTTGCAGATTTGCAACAGCTAAATTCCAATTACCTACTCACTCCACATCCATATTTTATGAGCTTTTTTTACTCAGGAGCCTTTTCTCCCTTCCATGCTGATAAACGTGGACGATGCAGACTGTGTAAGAATGGCTCCACGCTAACGGCCTGCCAGAAGTGCAAAATACTTTTTTTGTTCACAAAGGATAAAAAAGTCAGGATTGTATATTACTACCCCATATTATAATTTTCCCCAAATATCAGATTTTTCCTGATACTAAAAATGAATTTGAGCCTGAGAGGGTTAAATTCACTTACTGGACATACGTGGCATGCAGCAGCTTGTGTGCATTGGCTGTACCTGTGAGTCTGTTCTTGGCCGCGGTGAGCTCAGACAGCGCCCTCTGCAGGTCCTCTCCTCTTTTGTTGGCCTCAGTCAGCTGCTCCTCCATCTTCTTCAGCTGAGAGTCTGACAGCATCTGAGACAGGAGACATTTGATTATTTTAATTTAATTTTATTTAATTTTATTTTTTCTGCCTCCTGTTTGTTTGCATGGAAATAATATTGTTTTGTCCTATTAGTATAACCTATATACTTATAAACTATAAAAATAATAATAGACAGGAGACATCTGACGTGCCATTTCAATCATATACATGCAGGTGATTCTCAACTGGCATGAATTTTGAACACAAGGCTGTAAATGTGCCTAATTTCCACACAAAAAAAAATACAAATACATAAATAAAACATGTTAGTTAGTGTTTAGTTCCACTTTAAAATCTAAAATTTTACATCGGCGTGCATCTCACTAATGAAACTTCTGCACATCACATCAGGTTTGTCAAGTTGTAGTGTATCGTTTTGTGTCATGTTTTTGTGTATTTATGGAAAAATGTCGTGTGGGAGCATCGATGATGTAGGCTAGTGGGCGGAGCCTTGTACAGAATCTTACTGCTAACTGTAAGGAGGGTTTGAATAGGTCCCAGGAGAGATCACTAGATTATTCAAACATGCATGGATGACTCTAAAACTTTTTTGATGAAGGAACAATGTTATAACATGGTAGAAAGTTTGACTAAACTGACTTAGCATAAAGCCCCCTCTTTAATCACAAACTTGCAGATTTACCTGGTTTGAACTCAAATTCTCCCCAAATGGACCAGGAATGGTTGACAGTGCTATTAAAACACCATGTAGCCAATTAAGTACAAAAACCTGTGTTTAGTTCCACTTTAAAGGTCTTATAATGCACAAAATTTACTCTTGAGCTATAAGTCATGTGAGAATGTTGTTACCTCCTTAAAAACATAAATGGAGTTGTGTCTTGTTTCATTCCCACATGTTAGAGAATCCTTTTATTATTAGTCTCACAATATCAGTAGTGTACTCCCTGTGGTACCTTGGTCTTGTGCAGTGTGTCCAGAGATGCTCCCAGCTCCTCCAGCTCATCCCTCAGGCTCATTTTGTCCTTCTCCAGCCGGGCCCTGGTCCTCTGCAGGGCCGCACACTGCTCACTCAGCTCGGACAGCGCCTCACTGTGGCGCTTCTTCACCGCCACCAGCGCCGCCTCTGATTGGACCGCGCTCTCCTCCAAGTCCCGCCTCACACGCACTAGCTCCGCCTCCCGCTTCTTGTTCACCTCCATCTTTCACAAACAAACACATGATTCAGATTTGTGTTAGTTAGTTATAGTGTTTATTAAAAACTATTCTTGAACATTCACCTCTTGAAACCTGCTCATGTATATAATTCACAAATCACATGCTACCACTAGATGGAGCTCTAGTATTGCACTGTTGTGTCTTTGACCTTTTGGAATCTTTTCTACAGATAGAGATGACCTCTTGTATACAGCTGTGATTTTATGTTATTATTTATTTGATAACTTATTTTTCTATTTTATTTTGACTTGTACATTTACATTTATATAATTATGTTTTATTTGACACCTGTTTCTTGCTCTTTTTTGCTACTTATTTAGTATTTATTATTATTTTATTATCACCATTTCTATCTTCGCTCTTTGTTATTATCTTATATTGTGATGTGTGAGATGGGTAATTTCCCGTGTGGATCAATAAAGTTCGTCTAAGTCAAAGTCTAAAAAGAGAGACATTGAAGGCGGCACAAAGAGACCAACCCCAGAACAAGAATGATGTTATGCTCAGAGCTGGATTTGAACTGCCAACCCTCAACCGTTAGAAAACCTAATCTATCTACAGCAGACATGTCAAACTCAGGCCAGGGGTCCAAATTTGACCCACTATATAATTATATTTGGCCTGCAAGATCATATCAAATATGTATTAGAGCTGCCGGCTGGCTAGAGATAGACTATAGGGACATTATTGATTTAAAATGTTATTGTTTTATATTTTGGTTCTGGATTCAATGCAATTCAATAGCAAAACTATTATTTGAATAAGAAAAGGTTTAACACTACATATCTCGAAAGAAGAGAAAACATGCAGATGTTGTTGAAATTTTTCAATAAATATTTAGTTTGGCCCACGACTTAGTCCCAGTTTTTAATTTTGGCCTCTGTGAAGCTGAGTTTGACACCTCTGATCTACAGTACTCAGAGGTGGTAGAGTACCCAATTATTACTTTAAAATATTACTCAAGTCCGTACAGTTTCTTAAGTAAGTGCATTACAACTGTCTGTATGTGATTTGATTGTAATGACAAAACATTAAATAATGCACAAAATCTGGTATTTTTAAGAAACACACACACGCACAAAAAAATAAAAATAATTCCATCCTATTGGCATTAAGCTTTTAGAACAGTTTTCATGGTACCAGTATGAATGATATAGAGTCATACTTGTGAGACACTGACTCCCCCGGCCTCCTCCAGTCGGTCTGTGAGCTCCTCCAGCTCTCTGCTCAGCTCAGCCCTCTGCTTCTCCACCTGCACACACACAAAAACACTGAAGAGTCTTCTGTTCTATCGCATCATCTCACAATCATATGCGAAAAGTCACCTCAATGAAGCTATGAATAAATGAAAACTCAAATGAATTGTCACTTTCAGTGTATCTTGAATAAATAAATGAGCATTTCAAGACAACATTCAGTTCACATGAGCACAACAAGATGGAGTTTTGTGATTTATATTTATTTACTAACTCACAAGAATATAGCTTGGATGCGCCCGCTGTCATGATAGGGCCTGGCCACTGTTTGGCGGACCAATCACGTCGCAGCACAGAAGCCAAAGGCAAAGTGACTGAAGCTGTTTTCAGGCCGACCAGAAAGGTGCCAGTTCCCGCGACATTTCCACTGGGAACCGAAGTGCTCATCGGTGAATGACCCACGTTCAAACTATTTATGTGAACCCATGATGCGTCATCGACAGAGGGAGTGGATTTACCACCAAATAAAAATAAGGCCAAAAAGTGGATGTCAACAGCAGGAAAATAACAATCATAGATCACGTTACCGACTCCAGCGAGCATTTGTACTCATACAAATCACTATTTATCTACGCCGAGCTCTGGTACAACATCTGCTGTGGAGAAGGCAGCAGCGACGCCCAATCCAAAGATGGAACCTTACCAATTGAGCTCGGATACAGCAAATATTTGGTCTCCTCCTCTGAACACTGCACAGTCTTCTTGTCACTTGATTTCTCCACCATATTCTCCACACGTTTTCTTAGTTTGTTTATTTTACCATGTTTGACTCAGATGAACATGCTGACATCTACTGTGTCGTCATGGTTCGCTTAGAAAAATCAAGTTTTACTTGGTTCCCGTCAGGAGCCACCTTTTCAGTTCCCACACAGTTTTTGGCATGTTGGTTCAAGATTAGGTGCAGAAACTGGCACCGGCACGGTTCTCTGTTGGCCTGAAAATGCTATAAGAGAACCAAAAACTATTGCAGTGTCCATACAGACTATTGAATTAGTGAAAAACATGCAGAGGGAAGAGTTTTGTGAGAAGATGTCTGAGCTTTTCTCTTAACTGGATTTAACTAAAGTTAGATTTTTTGGCTTGTTCTGCTGTTGTGATGCTTCGACCAATCAGATTCAAGTATTCACCATGACGTTGTGTCTTTTCCTGATCTCTTCAGTGAATGTGAAACTCAATCCAGACAATCCTCCATATGTCAGTCTTGTGAGAGCCAGGTCAACATCTACCATGTTTCAATAACACACTGAATTCCCATTAGACCAACTGAACTTTTAAAGGTGGAAACATTACTGTTTTGATTAATGTTCCACAGTATGGCATTAAAGTTATCTGTCTCCATGTCCACAAGCAGATGACGCTTACAGGTTACAGGTCACATCAGTGGAGAGGCGTGCCAGCTCACAGTAAGAATGCATGTTTTTTCAAGCTTTTTGTTAAGAACCTATAATTGAAAAAAAATGGCAGTTAGAAGTTTAATGCCATACTGTGGAACATTTTGGGCAAACCTATAACATCTCCATGAAAACAATCTTGAAAAATTACATAGTCCACCTGTTTATATGGTGCATTTGAGTGTGCATAAAGTGTAATTATAGAGAAGCGGCTCCACACGTAAACCTCAGTTAAAAGGAGAGTAATGACAGAATGTGAGCGGAACGAGCCCTGGCTGGTGTCAGTGATTTAACTAATATAGTGTTATCCCACGCACATTGAGAAAGTGGCTCTTTGCACACTTGTACACACGCACACACATACACACATTGTTTTTCCACCATTCTTTGAGTGTGTAAAAACGGACATATGTTGTGAGCATGTTCATCCCTGACTCTAGGGTTTGATTCGATTGTAAAGTTCTACATCCGGAATGTGTTTTACTTTATGGACATCTTGCTGAATCTAATTTAGACCTAGAGCTACATTAACCCAACCATAAATACGTAAATAGATCTGTAATTACAAAAAAACATTGGGCATGACGTACCATTAGTTTGTGTTTTTTGGTGTTTTCATTCTAAAGACGATTTGAGTTGTCAGTTCTTCTGTCTAAATCCACTTGATTTAAACCTAAAATGTCTCTCTAAACTGAAATGGTCACTACCTAAATGTAAAGTATATTTATTTATTTTGCACGTAAAGCACACTAGATAAAACAAGTAGGTGCAGGAAAAAACCCCAAAAGGACTCATATTAAAGCCTCCACCTTATGAATACATTCAAATTGAACATTAAAGCTGCACATAAAAAAATGACATTTACACACCTTAGATTACCGTATTTTCTGCTCTATAGGGTGCACTTAGCCCTCTCAGGCTCAAATTAAATTTTAGTAACAGGAAAAACAACAAAAGTACTTTGCACTTCTGGCAGGTCGTTTGTGTGTAGTCATTCTCGCACAGTCTGCATCGTCCACGTTTATCAGCACGGATGGGAAAAAAGGCTCCTGAGTAAAAAAAGCTCATAAAATGTGGATTTGGAGTAAGTAGGTAACTGGCATTTAGCTGTTGCAAATTTGCGACTCCTGCCTGGAGAGGGTTAAAAGTCTTTAATTTCATCCAAAAACAACTGCGTGCCTTATAATCCAGAGGGCCTTATATATGAATTTATTGGAGTGTCTTAGTACGACTTTAGTAAACTACAAAGCCGCTCCACTTGCAGTATTACAGCTCCCGTAGTCAGGAGCATCAGGAGTAAAACATACTGTGATTCCTTTTAATATCAAAATGCACCTGTCAAGAGACACGCTCACAACACCCAACTTTAAACTCAAGACTGTTATAAAAGTGAAAGTGTGAGCTGTGTGGGAGCAGTGGATGAGAGAAGGAGAACACACATTCACCAAGACAGAGAGACAGCGCCGAGCCACTTACGCCACGATCTACCAACGGATCGTGGACGCCTGGACTAAAGATCAGTATCAACTGTGGTCCGAGCTTTCACCAAGAACTGCCAGGGAACAGTAACCACACTGACTCGGATAATGATGAGAGGGATGTGGACGTGCTGGACGCTGGAATCACCCAACTGTTTGAACTATTATGACTTATTGTGAATACACCAACAATTTAGCGTCTCAGACAGTATTGTTTTTACGTGTTACAATTGAACACAGTTGAGAGTTATTATGAACGCATTAAATAAACTTTGACTGACTTATCTAACTGTTGTGTTTCGTTTAATGCACCTTATAGTCCGGTGCGTTTTATATGTGAAAAAAGTTTGAAAATAGACCATTCGATGACAGTGCGCCTTATAATCCAGAGCCCCTATAGTGCAGAAAATACAGTAAATACATTTGATACAAACATGGATTAAAACACAATGAAACATCCACAACTGAAAGATTATCAAACATTTTCATGAAATATCAAACATTTCCTCAAACTCTTTTTAAACAACATTTCTGATGCCGTCACTAACCAGATGTGAAAACTCCTCCAGAATTTACAGCCTCTGGATCGAAGCCATCAGACAGAAGACTTCTATTTGCAATTGATTAATAATTGGGCCTGAAATGAAATGTATTGTTTTGAAATGTTTTGTAACTAACCATGTTGATGTTTTGTCAGGAAAAGGAAAAGGGGGCAGAGAACATAAGATGACTCTTCTTCTTTCTGCTCCTTTTCATTCATTTCTTGTATGTTTGATGTTGTGACACTGTTGATTTATTTTGATTCTATATGAATTAAATAAATAAATAAATTAATAATACAAATAAATGCATTTTGGAACATGAAAATTATGATTTTGATGAGTTTTGTATCTATGAATCTCTGTATTAATTTTGAAGCAAAATGTGAAATGTTTAGAGATCGTAGTTGTATTATAAACACTTTTTTATACATAAAAATACAAATGTGATAAAGATTAATCTCATAAATATTAAGAATGTTCAGTTTGATGAATAAATGAGGGACGATGTCAGTGTCATGGAATGAGTTACAATTCGAACAAAACATTTTTACACTAATAATACTTTGTTCAGAGTAAGTGAGAAAGTGCTTGTCCAGACTAGACAGTTAGATTTTGAGTCCCGAAATGTATAAACATTTCTTATAATATCAAGAGATTTATTAATTGAGGAATAGTCTGTCCATATACCGAGAATGAGACAAACTTGTATATTTTGAAACCTGTAAGAGCACATGGTAAAAGGAGAAATGCAATTTGTCAACTGGACATACGTTTATTTAGGTTGAAAACTTTTCTCAGCTCATCCAAGCTGCTTCTTCAGTTCTGGTCAGACGCTGGTGGACACTTCCTTATATTTGCCTGCAGGGAGAAGCTAACTACACTGAAACTATTCTGAAACTAACACACCTACTTGTTTACAGTTTATCTTAGTTAGTTAAGCCTATTGAACTTGCACTGAGTGTGGGGTCATATAAGCACAGGGGTGTCAAACTCAATTTCACAGAGGCCGAAATTAAAAACCGGGACTAAGTCGTGGACCAAACTAAATATTTATTGAAAAATTTCAACAACATCAACAAGATATGTAATGTTAAACCTTTTCTTATTAAAATAAATGTTTAATAATAGTTTTGCTTAAACATTGAATACAGAACAAGCAGAATATAAAATAATAATATTTTAAATAAATCATGTCTCTATAGTCGAGCTGTAGCTGGTGGGCAGCTCTCATACATATTTCATATGATCTCATGGGCTAAATAATTCTATTGTAGGCCAAATTTGGTCCCCGGGCCTGAGTTTGCCCTGTCTGTATTAGCAGAATAATTCAAGCCCATAATGGAGCTTTCAGACCTCTGGACCTGACCTGGCTATCCCTGTTGTTCTCTTGTTTGTTTGGATTTAGGTTTGAGGATGGAGTTGTAAGTAGGAGATAGACGGTGTCTGAGTCCTCCATTTCTGTTTAAGGAAGGATTGTCTTTCTTAACAAAAATAGCTTCTTTAACTCTCAAACCGTGTCTTTTCTCTGGCTCAGATCTGTACGTCACTGTCCTCAAAGGAGTGGCCTGTGGCTTTTAGATGGAGATGTACTGCAGACTGAGGTCCTTTTAGGTGGAGATGTACTGCAGACTGAGGTCCTTTTAGATGGAGATGTACTGCAGACTGAGGTCCTTTTAGATGGAGATGTACTGCAGACTGAGGTCCTTTTAGATGGAGATGTACTGCAGACTGAGGTGATGGACTGCAGACTGAGGTCCTTTTAGATGGAGATGTACTGCAGACTGAGGTCCTTTTAGATGGAGATGTACTGCAGACTGAGGTCCTTTTAGATGGAGATGTACTGCAGACTGAGGTCCTTTTAGGTGGAGATGTACTGCAGACTGAGGTCCTTTTAGGTGGAGATGTACTGCAGACTGAGGTCCCGTGTTGCTCTCGTCTGTGAAGTGTCTGTTTAGATTCTGCAGTGTGACGCTCACTGCAGTCTTCACTACACTGAATGGAGTAGACCACGTTGCTTTATTTGTTGGCTCAGTGTTTTGTCTTTTGGTTGGACCAGTTTCTGTCTGAAAGTGTTTGTAGGTCTGAAATAGACCAGGATTTCATGTTGTCTGAAAATCCTCTGTAGTTTTCAGAAACACCAGCCATGTAAGGAGTAGTTCCACCCTTTCTTCTGGGTTCTAATTCTTTGTCGTTCTCTTTTTTAGCTCTCTTTGTTTTGTTTTTGAAAGCCCATTTGGATGACTGAAGGATTTTCTCACAAACCTGTAAGAGCACAAGCTACATACAGTCCGTTTACCTACATTTAAGTTCAGACTTCAGAAGTAACCTCGCAAATGCATGTGTAGTAAAGATCTGGAGTAGTCTTCATAAGTGCACTTGCTGTAAATGACCGTATAGCTCTTCATGGTTCCACATTCCTCTGGGGAGAAGATCCGTGTCTGTCAGTGGGGCCTGATAAGATCTACACCACGGAACAATGGACCCCTGTACCTGCGCTCCTGATAAAAACCGTACAGGCCCTGGCGTGTTCAGACACAGCCCGCGGAGGGAGGGGGGAGGGCGATCCTGGGGGAAGAGGTGAGGAGCGTGGGGGCAGGGCTGGAGCTCCGGATACCACCCAGAGAGAAGAGGAGAGAGAAGCGAGAGGAGAGAGGAAACAGCCCTGAGCGAAATGTCACTGTGATAGACAGCAGAGGAAAGTATGCATCCACATCACAGAGCTGACAAGTGGCCCTCAAGTGGATCTAAAGAGGATTTCACATGGAAAAACAAAAACCTGTGATAAATATTTCTGTTGTCGGTAATGTACAGGTGATGCCATTCTTTCACTTCTTTCACTGTCTCTCCTAAAGGTCGTGAACCGGAGACGCCACAAAAGAAACAGATCATCTTGAGACTGATTGGAGAGACAATTTAAGAGCCAAGACATAAACTTTTACAATCACTTTTACTTTCTGGACCTGAATGATTCCATGAAAATAGGATGTTAAAACCATACTTTGAACATTCTTGACTGAGATAAGTTTTTGATAGACGTTGTATGTCCTACTGTGGAATATTACAGTCAAAGGATCAACATTTCCATGGAAACAAGCAGGAAGAGGCCCTCCAAATAAGAATCAGGGTTTAATTTTAGTCTCTAGTTTTCTTTGCTAAAAGGTTATAAACTGTGTGCCTATGCCAAGATGTCCTACTCATTTTAATAAAACATAGTTAAGATAATTATTTTTAAGGTTATGCTAAAAAAAACAAAAAAAAAGTGGTTATTTTTAAGGTACTTGAGTGAAGAAATGGTTGTCCTGTCATTCTTCCACTCCAGTGTGACAGAAGAACAGAAGAAGCTGATGGTTTACAATATTATGGAAAAAAGAAGACTCAGAGGTTCCACCAAAACCTAAATCGACAGCAGCGTCTATCAGTTCATGCTGCCTCGTCGAAATAAGCGACCTTTCATTTTTCCGTTTACAGTTATATAGATCCAATAAAGCCAAACTCCAGTTTGACAATATATTTCTTTGGATAAAAGATGTGGGTTTGACGCTGTTTGCACACACTGATCACACTTTATACCTTAATTATGTCAAATTTCAACTCATTTATATGAATTTGCATAGTTCATTTGGACAATCGTATTCTGCTCAAATAGGGTCAAAAAGGAGCACATATCAACATGGCAATTTACCCATCGAATAATCCTCTCACTGTAGAATTACCATTATTAACTAATTTAGAAGAATTTGGTTAAAGGAGCTCATTTCCACAGACAGATATCTTCTATCAAATAAAGCTCCCACTACATAAGAGAAAGAAATGACTGGAAACACTGAACTCTTTACATTAAAAAATATCAAATGCTACAGTGTGAATTTCCTCTCTAACATAGGTTAAATCTAACACACAAGTCATTACTTAACTGGTCCAAACATACAATAAAATCAATACACTTTTAAAATGTGACTTGTTACTCCACTTCTGCCTTGGGAGCTCAAATCGACGGCATTTAAACTGTAACAGCACGCAGGGGGTCGTGCACATGTGCAGTAGCGCTAGGGAGCTCAAACTGACAGGACACTGGAAGCACAGCTATGTTTACATCCTGTTTGGGACATGGTGACTAGCAGGTTTAACTATGTTCATTTATATATACAGCCTATGGTTAATAAAAAAACAAAAAAAACAAATGAGCACATATCATTTGTAGGATGTGTCCTTGTGTGTGGCGTGTGTATATTTGAGCTCACCTTGGCTCTCATGGTGCGTTCAGTCTCCAGCTCCTCCTCCAGCTCCTCGATCCGTGCCTGCAACACAACCACACTGCACGTTTATCACATGGAAAGAAGACTTATTTACACTTACTTCCATATTTACACAGGACAGTCCCAGTGTTGAGCCCAGTGTCCCCTGTCCCAGCAGATTTATACAAAACCACTGATGTGTCCCAGTTTTAGCAAGAAAATCAAACTTGTTTGAAATCCAGTCGCCTCTCATGAGGGTTTCGCTCTGTTGAAGTCGTTCCATGAGCAGATTTGCCAGAATCTGTCAGACTGAGCATGTGCGGACACAGAAGCGGAAGCAGGATATGAGGTTGTGGAGGACGCCCAGCATTAATCTTTTGATCAGGGATGGATTTAAAGATGCATTGTGTAATTTTTCTGATGCAGGGTCTGTCAAATTATTTTCTTCATGGAGATGCGATGCTTTGTCTGAAATGTTTCACAGTATGGCATTTTCATTCTCATCACTGTTTATTTTGTACGATCATAAACGAAAACAAAAAATCCTTACATTTTTCATTCTCATTGCTGTTTATTTTATAAGATCATAAACGATAAAATTTGTGCCTAGATTAATATTATTATTAGTTAGTACGACTACAAACAGAAATACGTTTCTGCATGTATGTATATGTTGATATGCATATGTGTGTAAACATTTATATTGAGTATACCTACTGGATATCTATGATGTGTATATGTATGTTTGTATGTATATATGTGTGTACAAGTGTGTTTACTTGCATATGTATGTAAGTGCATGTAGATATCTTTTTGTATATATGTCGGTATATATATTTTTTTGCAAATGACAGGTAAGCACTCCAAAGGTGATTAAAAAAAAAAAAAAAAAAAAAAAAAAAAAGTGAACCATGTGATTATGTAAAACAATTGGGGTAGGACTCTATAAGTTTTTTTAACTTCATCCTACTCCTTTTGAGCACCAGGTCCCAAATATGTCATGTACATATCACTATTTTTGTTATTGTTTTTGAATTTTGTTGTACCCGGCTCAAACAAAGAAATAAATGAAATGAAATGAAACCTTTCTATCTTCATGGAGACCAAACCAGTTTTATAGTTAATTTTTGTAACACATGCTCCATTTGGTTTAAAGCAGAATTACAATCAGAAATGAACTTGATGCTGCTATTTCACTGTATCACTGAGAGCCTTTTGGGTATTCCAAGCTGTTTTTAGCTGTAGGATCTGGCAACATGAAGTGATCTGGCGACGTAAAGTGTAAGTCCCTGGTTCACTTACAGTAGCGGCTCTGATAGTGGTCTGGAGCTGGCCCAGAGGGACGTGAGTTTACTTGTGTGTGTGTAGCCTGGATACAGACCACAGCACAATACCTCCAGGACTTTACAGGAATTTCAGTTGTTTGGGTTTTTCCCAGTTTAGGCCAGAGCAGTGCATGAACTCCAGGTCAGAATGTCAGAACAGAGGAACACAACAGGCTGATCTGACCTTACCACGGTCAGTGAGAATTACAGTTACTGCCGTGCATTATATTTCTACAAAGACAAAAGAGCTTAACTCGCCAGAGGGTGAAACTGAGAAGAATGACCTGTCCAGACAAAAGTATAACAGGCAGGGGTCCCAAAATTTGACACCTAGTTGATATAATGAAGATATATTTGAAAGTGAAAAAACATTGAGCACAAAATTGACTATTGACCCTTACTTGTCAGTTCCTGTTCTCTGCATTTGTATTATGAGAGAAAACTAAGGAGTTGCGCAAAGACAAAAGGCAGGATAGAACTGATCAGGATCGTGACAATTACACAGTCAAACAGTTTGACACAAATGACTTTGCAGTATAGTGTGTACAGTACGAATAAACACACCAAATACTTCCACATTAAAGAAGCCGAGCCAAGGCAGCAACAAAAAGAAGGAGGCGAGAGGTTGAAATATATTCATGAACTAAATCACAAACAGAACAGACACTGTTTTTGCCTTTTGTCTTTGCACGAAAACCTATTTTTGGCTCATCATACAAAGACAGAGAACAGGAACTGACAAATAAGGTCAAAGGTCAATTTTGAGCTCAACATTTTTTCAGGAAATTTATTCATATCATAAAGGAGGTGTAAAATACAAACAAAATGACATGAACTCATTTTTGACCAAACGTGATGTTACTGCGTTTTGCCTTTGTAGGACAGAAAACTCCATAACACACAAGTCGTCCGGCAACAGTTAAATCACATTCTGTATCACTGCTCTGTGGTCGGCACCACAGCGATGGATAAACAAATGCTTAACGTGCCTATGACAGGTTAGACTACTCATTTTACTAAAACACTGATACTGGATGAAAATCATGACATTGCATTAGGGAATTTAATAATTGTCACCTAGGAAAAACAAAACAAAACAGTACTGTATTTTCCGGGCTATAGGGCGAGCTTGAAAGCCTCCAACCCCACGAACCCTACACGAATCCACTCGGGTGTCCCAGCACGACTTCAGTAAACTACAAAGCCGCACCACCCGCAGAACACACAAACACACACAGAGCAGACAGCGACCACACAGCGAAACACACCCACAGACACACTCATCACTCCACACTGACAAGGAACGGAACAGAGGAATGAACGAGTGCAATGTGCCGCTTCTAGACACAACTGAACAACTGAGTCACTGTGAACACGCCGACAATCCGTTGGTCCCTGACATCACCCTCCCTACACGCCACAACTGAACAAAGCCCAGAGTCACCGTGAACGACACAAACAAACAAAACCACTCACCCATCACACTGTTGGGTTTCCTTTAAAGTCCAGTGTGGTTTATTTGTGAAAAAAGTTTGAAAATAGACCATTTAATAACACTGCGTCTTATAATCTAGAGCGCCTAATAGCCCGGAAAATACGGTACACAGTATGTAAATGATGTATCTAATTAGGGATGGGCATTCAATGACATTTTTTTAATCGATCGTCGGAAGAATTAATGATTAATCGATAATCGATCGTTAACGTTTTTATATTAAAATGATCATCATTATTATTACTATCTGCACTACTAATCTGCATAAATAAATTCAACTTTACGACATATAAACCGTAACCACTCTAGAGCCACATTAATCCGTTTGACATATATATATGTATAATGTGTTTAATTCAGTTTTGTTCAACTCTCACAGAAACAAAACTTAAAACCACATCACTAATTTGCATAAACTAAGTGAAGATAAAACTCCAGCTCTTGTGTCGCTGATGCGGTCAGTTTCTGTTGGATTAAAAGACATGACTCAGGTGAATACAGGTTAGTGTGACCAGATTTGCGTTTGTCAAAACCAGGACACTGTACGGGGGGAGGGGGCGGGGCCTCGTCATCCACATTGCGCGACTCTCACCTGGTAAAACTTTTTTCCACTGGACACCAACACATATGTGCTGCTTTATACACTGTGCACATGGACTCACACTTGTCCCGGACGCAACGGAAAGCGTGGAATTTCTTGTACAAGTCATCGTTAAATACACATTTGTCCTTCGGTACGTTGCAGGTTGACCGAATGTTTGTGTTTGTGTCTCGCTCCTTCTGATGCAGAGACACATGTACAAACCTGTTTGGTCACGCTACACACAGCAACCTACATTGGGTTTGTCGATTAAAATTAACGTAATGGATGAAATTCTTAATGATCAATTATCGATTAATCATGCCCATCCCTATATCTAACAAATGATTATCTAACAAATACAAATATAAAACAGCACTAGGGTTGTGCAAACACATCAAAATATCAAAATGCTGATATATCGTCAAGAGTATTTTTTTTTTTGGTATATTTAATAAATTATTTTGTTACAGAGCTACAGTTTTGCTGCTTATTTGGAGGAAGGAAAGTCTTTTCTGCGACACATTTGACATTTTCACTGTTTTGATGATAAAAATGTTTGTGTTTCATATGAACTTTGCACAAGAACTGGTTTAACAAAGACTTTTAGAATCACAGCCATGATTTAGCCTTTATTTTTATTGAACCATATTGCATCAATTTGAACTAAATCATATCGAACCGAAAGTGCGCTATATCGACATATGTATCGTATTGTGGCCTATGTATCGTATCTGCAACTTCTTAATGTAATCTCCTTTATTTTGTTGAAATCGTGTTTAAAGTATCAGAAAAAAATAGTTTCTTAAGAGTAAATTGTATTGAAATGGATAGAATTCTCCTTCAGCATGATGTCATTGGTGTTTTTGGATTTTTATTTTTTTTTCCACAAGCTGCTTCTTGATTTGTGTAAAACTATAATAGTATATGGTATTTATATGATCATCAATTAAAGATTCATAAAGATCTGTCATATGCACTTTAACTGCTTTTAATTAATTGATTCCATACAGACCTAAACTTAAAAATATCCTTGCAGTACTAGAGTTTAAAAAGTGATAGTTCAGTTGTAATGCACTCGTTCACCAGCAGGCGTCTCTCTAGAGTCCATAAACACGCTCGTCCCTGTGTGAGTTGGACATGTGTTAGCGCTAATAAAGCTGACGTCGTAAAGTGTAGTTGTTCATATAAAAGTCTAAACATCCACACTGTAAAAGAGTCATAAATGAGGCTTGTAATGCAGAGTAATGGGCCGCATCACTACATCATGTGTTTAGATCTCCGCCCGTGTGAAATAGTTTGAGTGTGTTTCAATAATGATGATGCGAGGCCATAAACCGCTCACCCACACATGCATAATCATCTTCTCTCAAATGTCTTTCTACTCTTTTTCTACATTATTCTCCTTCTCTACTCTCTTCTAATTGTGCTCTCCTCTCTCCTCCTCTTTTCCTTTCTGTTTGACCCTGTCAAGTTCTAGTTCCAGAGGGGCCAGTGTGGTACAAAGGATCCACACTCTTTTTCACTGACAAAATTTCAAAACTTTTCCCTGACTTTTTCATAACCTCAAGTGAATTTTCCATGACTTTACGGCACCTACACATGTTGAATTGATCAGGCTTTTAGAGCTAAATATGAAATTTTAACTCTTTCCACTCACCTT